CAGTCCCATAAATTTCAAGTTTGTAATTCAATTGCTGACCTCCTACCTCCACCTAAATGAAATGCAGGAACTCCAAATTTACTTTGTGTCTCACAGGACTTCTGGTTTCCTTCAAACTCCCTTTCCTATTGTTTTCTCCTACTCAAGAAATGGAATATATTCTTGTGACCCTTTTCTCAAAAGATAAAACCAAACACACAAAGCGAACAACTTTGGAGTTATTGTTGTATTTTGCTTTTCTCTCATGTCCTGCATCTGGTTCATTGGCAAATCATTTGGCTCTACCTTCTACATATATCCAGAACTAATGCTCATCACCTTCACCGCTACTGCTGAAGTCCATGTCACCGTTTTTCACCTAGAGTACAAAACTAGCTTTCTTTTTTTATTTTAAAGGGAAAAGAACCAAAACAAAGACATAAATGAAACAACATAAAAACAATAAAAATGATGCAGAATTTCAAAATAAGGGGATAGGAAATTAATAATTGTTGTATTACATACTGTTATCTTCAAAGTGGTTACTCAGATTACCAGATCTGGGTATATAAGACTGATCAAACAGTTAAACATTAACTGTTCTTTTCAATAAACCAAATAGGCCTCAATATGTCTTCTCTGAGCCTGTGATTCATCAAAATAGTGCTAAGATATCTGTCATCCAAGTATTAAGCATCTGAATACAAGAAATCTAGATTATTGTACTTTAGGAAAAAAATACAGGAAGGGTTAGAGATGAATGACATACACAGATAAAAGATCAAAGTAGTTTAAGGTCTAAGGTTTATGATTGATCAGTGAGAGCTAATTACGCCCCACTATTGAGGCTAAATTTTCCTGAGCACTCTGCCTATGACCCAGGAATTAATTCTCTAGTCTGGCTGGTAGGAGGAGGCACTGTTCTAGGTTCTATGTGAGTATATAGCGCAGAACCTATGTCATAGCTTTCTTTTAGTAGTGCAGTAGCGCTGGAGATTGAACCCAGGGCCTCATACATGCTAAGCACACAATATACCACTGAGCTACATCCCCAGCCCAGTAGCCTATCTTTCCTTGTATATGTCCTCTTTAATGTCTATCAAAAAAGTTTTATAGATACCTTTTATTGGATATATCCCTTGGGATTTTACCCTTTTACTTTTTCATATAGTTTCATGTTTCGTTAGCTTTATACCTCAGAAGTTTATTTTACTAAATGCTTTAAGTCTAGGGCTGGGGATTTAGCTCAGCGGCAAAGCACCTGCCTGGCAAGTGCAAGGTCGTGAGTTCGGTTCCTGGTACCAGAGAAAAACCAAAAAAAAAAAAAAAAAAGCTTTAAGTCTAAATGATGTCATTTTAAAACTTTAATTTCTAATTTTGCATTATAATGTACCAGAATATGAAAGTATAACTGATGTTTGTACATTAATCTTATACTCTACAAGCTTGTTTAGCTCCTTTATTATTTCTCATGACTTCTTTGTAGAGTCTTTGGGATTTGTTTTGTATCTAGGACCTTTGATATGCTGAACAAGGATGAGATTTTGTTCCTAATCTTAGAGGTAAGTGTTGAGTTCTTAACCATTAAGTGTGATGCTGCCGATGGTTTGTCTGTTTGTTGCAGATGACCTGACCAGGCCAAGGAAGTTTCCTTCTATTCCTAGATTACTGAGAGTTGTTAAGTCTGTCATGAATAAACAGAATTTTGCCAATATTTTATGCACCCTTTTTCTTCCAGGGTAGAGAGTGAACCCAGAACCCTCACACTGAGCAGCATCTCCATTCCTTCTTTATTTTTTACTTTGAGGCAGGGTCTTGCCCAGGCTGAGCTTTGATTTGTGATCATCCCACTAAGCCTCCCAGAGTGAGGCAATTATAGCTGTATGCCACCACGCCTGGCTGCTTTCTGCACCCATTATGATCATTTGTTTTAAAAAGTATAATGCATTACATTGAGTGATTTTTAAATGATGAGTCATCTCTGCATTTGTACAGTGAATCTCATTTCTGCACTACATTATTGTTTTTGTATCTTGCTGGGTTCCATTTGCTAAACTTTTCTTTAGGTGTTGTATGTATGTCCATGTGGGATATTGCTGTGTAGTTATCTTCCTTGTGATGTCTGGATTATGGATTAGAGTAATGCAAGATCATAGATGAGTTAGGAAGCTGCTCATTTTCTTCAGTTTTCTCAAAGGATTTGGGTAGAATTGATATTCTTTCTTAAATGGCTTGTACAAGTTAACAGCAAAGTGTGGTGCCTGGAGCTTCCTATTCCAAGTTTTAAAACTATAAATTCTATTTCCTTAGTACACGTAGGTCTGTCTGTCTGGCTTAGTTTTCCTCTATCTGGACTTCCTCCACCCAACACCTCAGCTCTCTCTCCTTCTTCAGAGGGTTAAATGCTAAGAATCCTCGGAGATCAACTCCTTTCTCATTTGTCCAGAGTTTTCCCTGAAATGCTCCCTTCCTTAAAGGTTTCCTCCCTTGGTTCACAAGGCCTGTGCATCACCATTATTTGATGTATCACATTATATTAGAATTTTCTCTACAGGTATTTTCCTCCCTCAATAGACATATAGTTGACAGTACTAACAATGTCTTTCATAATGTAAGTATATATATATATATATATAACTTTTATATAATGAATATGTGTATATTTGTATGTATATTACACACATATACATTTATATACATGTATACGCAGTTTTTACATGTATACTCATATGTAAAAGCCAGCCTATTTTTATCAGTTCTTTAAAATGGAAATTGTCAGCATCATTATTGAAGTCTCTGTCTGTGCTTAACCTTAGGAGATTTAGAAAACATTTGGAAACTTTTGAGCCCAGGAAGCTAATGCTTGTGAGGAAATCCAAGTTGAGAGCAATGCCAGTTCCACATTCTTTAGGTCTTAATTAAAATGAGAACATGTTGAGATTTATCAAGCCTGTTGTGATGACTGGGCTACACTATACACTCATGCACAAATGTCTGATTTTCTTTCATATTCCTTTGGTCTTGTTTAGCATTTTCCTTTTTGAAAAACAGGCTACATTACTGGGCACATGAGCACAGCAGCATTAGTCATGGGTGTGGTGATTCATCAGGTTGGCTTATAAAGTGAAAGCAGCCTTGCCCTTCCTCAGCGGCGCCCGCTGGCAACTCTCTTTCCCCCCTCTGAATCAGACGTGTATTTGTTTGAGTAATCAAGAAAGAACTGTCTGTCTTGTGACCTTAGAGGCTGGGGAAAGGGAACAACTGAGTGTTTTTGGCGTAGGAAAGTTAGCAGAACAATGCAAATCTGTAGACCAGAGAGCCTCTCTGCCGGGCTGCTTCCTCTGGGCAGACTTGAATGTCACAGGATCCTCTGACTGCCAGCAGGACTTTTCATCCACGGTGAAAACTATTTTAATATAAGCAAAGTGGATTTCAGGTCTTTAAAAAAATGTTTAAACTCTCTCCCTGCTCATTTTGCCAAATTTTTACCTTTGGTTAAGATCTGCAGTCCTTCCGAAAATGAGCATTTTTGAATCCTGGGACCAGAACTGGTAAGAGATAGCTTTACAGCGTGGACACCCTGGGAAAATAATCAGGCTGCGGAGTGAATGCATGGGCCTAGTGCAAATTAGGTGAGGCAATTAGACCACACAGAGAGGATGCTGAAACCGTCTCAAAGATAAGCGAGAGGGACAATAGCCAGGGAGCCCAAGAACTTTGAAGGAAATGACAGATCTGATGACAATAAAGCCCAAAGAATCTGACAGAGAAAAATGATTCATTTATACTGAATTCACACTTCCTATTTGCCTGTTAATAATAAGCATGTTAAAAATACTGGTTGAAGAGAGTCCAGATATTTGATTTTAAGACTCTCTCTCTCTCTCTCTTTCTCAGATTTTTCATCATTAAGAATATGTGGGATGTCATTAGAAAACCAGAGAGAGTTGCAAGCCAGTACATAGAAAAACATTTGTGTAGACTCCTCACTGCCCTATGTGTGACATCCTTCAGATCTGCGCACTTTATCCTGAAATCTTTAAACAGTCTACAACATTCATTCGCCTGCCTCAGGAACCCAATTCCGTTAGGAGAGCTGGGCTGGTCACATACTTTCTTCGACTCAGGTGCTGAAGTCGTCTTATTTCAAACACAATTTGGGGACAGTTATGTGTTCTGTTCTAATATCTTCCTAAAAGGAAATTATTTCAAAAGTAAAGTTACCGATAAAATCAACTCAGGAAATGCACTTTGCAAATATGAGCATTATGAGAAGCCACACCACAAAAATACTAAGGATTATTTTTACCAGAGGATAGCATTAAATAAAACTTATGGGGAGACATTGTTTTGGATTAAGCTTCTGCACTAGACCCAACAGATTGGACCTAACCAGAACACAGAATGGAGTCACTTTGGCTAGGTGCAGGGAAATCAAACTATAGTTCAAAGAAGTTCAGTTTTCCAAACATAAAACAAGCAAATAAAAACCCGGGAGACTCACACCAATTAATCAGAAGAGTCCAAGTCAGCATCCGGTGTGATAAGAGAAGTCCCTTCCATTTTAGGGGAAGTACTTGGAAGTGACCAGTCTGCTTTTTGTTCTTTATTTCTTCTTTTCTACCTAGAAAGCTCCCCTCCCCTGCTTGGTTCATTGGAATTTATTTCTATTTCGTAGGTAGGATTATGCCTAATTCATGAACTGCTAATAAAAACCAAATAGGTCACTCATTGCATTTGCTGAATTTTGCCTTTTGGTAGTAGCTACAATAGAATAATGATATATCTTTACAGAGAGAGAGCCTTTATTTGAGAAATGTGAGGCAGAAAAAATTTAAATAATTATATTCGAGTATTACATAAGTGGCTACTTAAGAGAGAATTCTATATATACAATAAAACATGGAAAACTAATTTAAAGGGAGCAAGAGCTAATATCACAAAAGGAGACAAACAAAAATTAAGTTTTTTCCTGTGTTAGTCGGTCACATTGGTTGCCCCTGAGACACAATGCTGACACCTGCAGCTTAAGAAAGTTTATTTTGTGAGATAGGCACAGAGCTTAGTTAGCTAACCCAAGGCCGAAAGCACGGTGGAAAATCCTGGCAGACGAAAGCTGCTCACACCATGGTGGCCGGGAAGCAGCGAGAGAAGGGCAAAGCCTGTGGAAAGATGCGGCCTCCCAGGCCGCACCCAGTGACCACCTCTTCCAGCAGGCCCTGACTCCCAGGAGCAAGTCAGCTGTCTGCTCCCACGATTCAGTCACCTCCAGAAGCTCTACCCATCAGCTCAGGAGCCTCTGGGGGACATGCTATGCTGAAACCGCAGCGGTACCCCAACAAGGAAGACTGCTCTCCCCAGACCCTCCTTCCATGGGGAGAAACTGGCTTGAACAGGCCAGTTCCAGCTCTGCTCCCCCTCGCTCACTGCCTCCTGGAGGGATGAGCCAACCAGGGCAGGCTCCGAGGGACCACCCAGAGGAAAACCTGGGCCTGCCCACCTCTGACGTGGGCCGCTGTTCTGACCATCTCATTCGGGGTTTCAGCACCGAGGTCCGTCATGGCTGCAGATCTAAAAGCGCATTCTTCCATCCGTCTTTTACCAGGCTCCTGACCTGGCTCCTCCTCTTCGGTTCTGAATTCAGATAGGAAAGTGAATGGCTGTGATAGATTCTACTGAAGCTCTTAACAGCCAAAGGAGAAATAAAATGACCTGAGATATAAGAAACATGTTAAGCTTCAGTCAGAAAAATTCAATAGGACCTACTTTCCTGAGATGAAACAAAATCAGAGACAAACACGGCCAACTCTCTTCATCCTTGTTTACACTGATGTACGACATCAGAAAAACAGCTGCGTGATATGGACCCAGCACGGAGAGAACACAGGGCTCTACTTGAGGATTAACTGAGTGTGGCAGAACTGGAACTCTAAAAAAGCCTGAAAGAAGAGAAGAATTACAAGCTATGGCCATTTCTTCTCCTTCCAAAAGAAAGCAACTGCAAATGTTTGAGAGAGCGGCGTGGTCGTAGACATTGCGAGGCTGGTAGAGCAATCAGATCCAGACGCCGGACAGTGCACGTCAGGGTTTAAATACGGATCGATCACCGTAGTGCAGGGAGGTGCCATGTGGCTGTGCGAAACTCCCCGCTGAGCCAGCTGAAGATGTTCTCCCTTCAGGAAACAGGAAGTGCAAACGAGAAGGTGGTCATGGCAGAGTCAGAGACTCGGAGAGGAGACACTGATAACTGGAATGGAAAACGGTTTGGCCAGATAGGAGCAGAGCGTGTGCGTGCAGAGCACTGATGCAGAACGATTTTTCCTTAGATTAGCAATGACAACCCCATCCTTATCAGTGGAGCACTCCTTATGGAACACCTGCTTCACTCAGTACTTCAGCGTGACACAGTCTTTAAAAACAAGCGCCTGAGGCCCTTCCTTGGCTGTTTCTCCCCAGGCATGGCTTCTCCACCACCGCCTGTGGAGCTGGCCAGTTCCTGCTCAGCTCCTGCTGACGTCTTTCCTCAACCCTCACTTCCCGCTCCTCAGAAGCCTGGTGCTGTATCCTCTCAGAGTCACGCTTGCTGGCCCAGCGTCTACGAGCTTTGAAAGACATGTTTGGAGACAATCTCTGTAAATTACTGTCTGCATGACCGTGGGCAGGCTATCAGATCTTTGCTTAGTTCCTTCATGGGTGGATATCTGACACATGGGAGCTTATAGTCTATGAAGTTGTTGAATTAGATAAAGTGACATGCACAGAACACTTCACACAGTGCCTGACAGGCTGAAAGTACATTTATGCCAGCTATGTATCTATCTATCTATTTATATAATACATGCCTTAATACTTTCTTCTTCTCCTTTCCCTCATCCCAGTTGTCCCTTCCTTTGAGCAATTTCTTTCCCTTTCAAATTATCTGTTGTACATTTTGTGTTTTATTTACGCTTTCATGTTCTGAAAGAACTTAATAAAGAGTGACCATGATTGTTTAGCTATTCCCTCTTGTCTTCTACCGTAATATCAACCACACTGCTTTTCAGTTGCCCGGCCACAGGTCTGCTACACGTCTGCATGCATCCATGAACTGAAGTCGGCTCTCCACTGCCTGTGGGTCATGAGCCTGCAGCAGTGCTCGCTGGTGAACTCAGTGAGTAAGCTCACCCTCTCCTCCAGCATGAATGATGCTGATGTCTGCAGCCATATTTTCAAAACAGCATGCTACAGAATAGTCTGCCCAAGTTAAATGATACATTTTTCTAGTCTTTAAAAATATCCTAAGAAAGAGAGTCTTCAGTCTCCTTGGCAATATTCTCTAGTTAATATTTTCTCAAAGTCAAATATATGACTCCTGTTTAAAATGAAAATCTATCACAATTTTTAAAATCAGTAAAAAAGGAAAATCTTCATTCTCAATAAAATATACCCTTGTACATGTAAACATTCACACTGACTGCCCCCAACCTCTTCTTATTAAAATAAAACTATTTTTAAGCATTTTAAAATAGTCTTGTCTCTTTAAGCCATCTGGTAATTGTAATCCTGAAAAATACTCAGTTACAGAACATAGAAATAATAATAAAAAATTTGAATCTTCAAAATGCTTAATTTACACTCAAAAAAAAGAAAAACCATTTAAAACAGCCTAATTTTTTGAGCAGCTACATTTGTTCAGAAATAGTGGTTTTCAAAATATTATATCAATGAACAAAATCTTAATATTTCCATTCAGCTATACTAGTTAGTCCTTCTTACTTTTATAAAAATATATTTCTAAGTGGTTAAAATATTAAGTGGAGAATATTAAGAATATTAAGAAATTTTAAATATTTGCCAGGCATAGTGATGCACACCTGTAATCCCAGCACTGGGGAGGCTGAGGCAGGAGGATCACCATGAGTTCTGGACCAGCCTGAGCTACCTAGTGAGTTAGAGGCTTGTCTGAGCTACATGGCAAGAGCTTGTCTCAAAAAAACTTATCCTTTGGCACATTAACTACAATTCTAGTGATTAGCCCAGAAAGAATTATTAGTATGCTCATCAAGACATGATTTAAAGCAATGAAAAGCTAGAGAAAGCCTAAATTTTAATATTAGGGGAAAGACTACATAGAATAAGAAATGGTTTGTTTCAGAAAAATTCTTGTACAACACAACCTGTCTTGAAGAACAATATCTTTATAAATTTTAGGTACACACTTACAATATTATTTCAAATACTGTCTTTGATGTTAGAAAATGCTCTTCATATAATAGAGAATTTTTAAAGTACCTTATTAAATTGAGTGTTAAATATAATAATGTTTAAAATAAGATTTAAATAAATACGTTGTGGTTGGCATTTGCTGTATATGGGGTGTTCTACGACACTGTACTAAGACCCAACGGTATTTGCTGCCTTGACATTCTTTAAAACGAGGAGGGTGTCGACCGGTCTGACTAGAAATCCCCCACCTCACTCTGCTCCCGCAGATAAGGTCCCACACCTGAGCCACTTCTTAATCGTGGCGCCTGGCACAGAGCCTGCTTACTCCTGAACACGGAGCTGAGTTCTCTGACAGCCCACAGGACTGCTCCGCGAGGCTGCTCACGTTCTCTAGTGGAAGCTGGGTCACTGTACCCTCTTGAGAGTACGGAGCTCGCTTCCCAAGCCCCTGCTTGGTCACTGCCCCTAAGTGGAGCCCTCATGTAGCTCAGCACAGAACGCCGGGTCTCCTTTCCCCAGGTTGTGATTAAGTATACGATTAACTGCTGTGACTGTCACCTGCCTAATGTTAGGTGCAATATGTCCAGCCTCTGCCGTTACCATGGGGCAAGAATCCTTCCATCACCAGTGGCAGGAATAGGAGGCAGTCAAGCGCTACCCACAGACTACGTAGCATTCATTCTACGTGTGGGGACGTTCTCACCGTCATGCAAAGTATCTCACTCAGCAGACGTTTCCCAGGCTTGCTTCCAACAAGGAGGAGCTCATCCGTGAGGAGGTTTCATCAGCGCAGCGGAGGGAACGGCACGGACAGATGCAGGTTAGCCAAGGAGCCGCTGCTCTTGTGACGGCACTGGTGGTGTCTGACAGTGGCGTGAGGCTGAGGTGGTGGCTGTTTTATTCAGTGTCGAGTATCTCCATGGAGAAATCACAGCATTTGTGAAGGGTACCACGCTGGAGGCAAACTACAGCAAGAGCGGCATTGTTACACCTTGTTCCACCCTGGGCGGCTTTTCACGTTGCAGCTCTGGCCCCCTGTGTGCTTTTCTCTGTCCCTTTCCTTATTTAAGGTAGTATGAGTTGATTCTTCTATTTACAATTTAGTAACTTGAGCAAAGTAACAAATGGTGTCACTCTCTTATGGGGCTGGACATCTGAGCTTACTCGGTCTGCATGTGTCTGAAGCCCTTGAGAATAAAACTTTCACGTGATAGTGGACTGCACAAGCCCGGGGAGAGCAGTGGAAAGATAGTGAAATGAATGTTCATCATTGCATCCGAGGAGTGGCAGGCTTGAAGAACTGAATATATTTCCAGGGCTCTAGGATACTAGGATGTGTGTGAAAACGCAGGGATCGTAAGGGGAGGGTGGTTGTTTCTAGTAGGCTGGAGAAGTTAGGGAACGACAGTATGCTCAGTGTCCACAGGTCTTGGCTCCATGCATATTGGAGCAGCAGATTTCCTTGATTTCCTTGAGCATATGTCATAGTCTTTGAGTATTTACAGTACTGGAACAATAATAATTGAAAATAAAACTCAAAATTTAACTTTGGGGGTCAGGAAATTATAAAACCAGGAGAAAGAGAAGGTAGATTTTATCCATTTCTAAAGGTAGACCAGTTTTTGAAAAAACAGCTGATAGGACAGTTACAGTAGGGTTACAAGGGCTGTTTCGTGATTTCTAAGAAGTTCATGCGCAATCAATGGCAATAACACAGGTAGAGTAAAAATGAGAATGTGACTTCTGAAAGCAAACTCTTGGCCTCAGGCAAAGTTATGATGTTGCGCTGAACAGGCAGGAACACTCCCTGGGCTCTGTTAGTCTGCAGTGAGCGGAGGTCTTTTTCAGTTTCTCCACCACTGCCATATGCGTAGTATGCGCCCTTACACAAACGCCCTTACACAAATAGGCCGAACAGAAGAATGGGACCCCAGCAAGAAACCCACGATATCTGGCAGACTCACGAATTCACATAGAGTGTGCAGAGCCGCTTCCCTGCCTGTGATAGCATGTGTTTCACAAAAGCCACTTTGTGATTCTAAAAAACTCGTATTAGTTCAGTGGACATTACACAGGTGGGCTGAAAATGATCATACACTACCATTCCCTTTCTTCTACTGTTCTATATGGGACAGGGTTTGCTTGGTAGTGCATACCTTATGAAATATCAAACAGAATTAGAGAAGGAACGGATATGAGTACAGGACCCGAACTTAGAATCAGCTGTGGTAACTGAAACTGTAATTGTCTCATTCAACGTAGAATAAATGTGCTTTATTTATATGATAAATAGTTGCACAGTATTGTATGAAATCTGTATTGGAGACACAACTATTGCTAATTGGGTTTAATTATTTTCGTTACTGTACTTCTTTATTCCTATGTAGTAGAATTTGGCTTTTTCTATATAGCAGCAATGGAAAGGACTTTGTACTGTAACCAGATAGTAAAAAGGTGGGAATTACTAGTGTGAGCAGCAAACAACATACTGGACTTTCAAGGTTGAGGAGAAATCCAGGGAAGGAGCCCAAGGCTGCTTACATAACTGGAGCTCTTTTGGAACTCTTCTCAAACCTTGAAAGGAATTGCTTTGCTTTAATTAGGGAAGCCAGCACCTATAAAAGGAGATGAATTTGATTAATGCTTTCCAGAGAGTATTCGGACACTGCATGTGTATAAAAGGCAAAACCACATGTTACTGGGAAGCGAGCTGCAGAATGCAAAGCAAGATGAAAGCTTTACTTAAATCTCTAGAATATTTATATTTGATTGAAATGCAGTTGTATTGATTTTTGAAAATTATTTATATAAAATATGCATGAAGGAAAGGGCATATATAATAAATGAAGAGATCAATGAGTTTTCACAGAATGAAGACGTGAAACAAACTTGAAATAAGAAGAAGTATTGCCTGTGTCCCAGAGAGCCCTTGTTTCCTTTCCCCCTCATTCATTGCCCATCCCTCACTCACTCCCATAACCCCCGTGTCTAATGTATTATATCTTACATCTATGCTATAATAATCATGTGTTCATTTTGATTTTTTGGATGATATATAAAAGGAACCATATAGTATATATTTTTGTAACTGCCTTTTTTAAAATTTTATTTTAAAGAGAAAAAAATAAAGCAAAATTTCAAAACAAGATAAATAGGAGAGGGGCTGGGGATTTAGCTCAGTGGCATAGCAACTGCATGGCAAGCGCAAGGTTGTGAGTTTGATTCCTGGTACTGGAGAAACCCTCCCCTGCCGCAAAAAAAAGAAACTAAAGATAAATAGGAGAGTAACAGTGATTTAGTAGGCTTCTTTAGCTCAATGAACCTTATGAAATTCATCCATAATGTTGGATGAGATTATAATCATTTATTCTTAGTTCAGTAACGTTTTGAAATGTACATTACTGACTTGTGCATTCCGCTGCTGATAATCATCTGAGTTATCCTTAATCTGTTATATTAAGGATTAGGCTGCCATGAATATTCATATATGTGTTTTGGTGATCATACAAATCCACATTTTTTGGATAAATGTATAGAACTGGTGGGTCATAAGTACACATAAACTTAGTTTTAACAATTTTCAAATGTGATATTTCAAACAAGATATATGTACATCAATATGCTTTCAATTTACAAGGTAACTTTGTTACTTTTGCAAATCACATTGTGATATCATCTAGTTAGTAAAATTATATTTATCATCTTATCTACTATGCTCCATTTAAAATGTTTTTGTTTGCTTTTCAACTTGCATTAATTTGATAGCCTCAACTACCCTAAGACACCATTTAGTTCTTCACATTATTAACAAACACGAGAATTGGTTCTTTTGGAAAAGGTATTTGTCCAATCACTGAATGATTAGATGTCACGCGTTTCCTTGACATAGGTCGCTGAGTGCCTGCCGTGTGCCAGCTCCCGCAGCGCACTAATATCAGACCAGACAGCGTTTGTGCTTTCACAGAGGCTCCATGCTGGTGGAGGAAGACGGCACCTATGCAGTGTGTCACTGCAATATGAAGGCAGATGACGCGGGCGCTGTGTGAGCAGTACGGACGCCAGCGACCCCGGGCAGCCGCCTTCAGAAGGACGGGGCCTGAGGCACGTGAGAGGCTAATGTCGGGAGGAAGTCAACAGGGGCAAAAGAACAGCACGTTTTAGAAACGAAGTGGCCAGTGTGAGTAGCGCTAAACACCACTCAGAGAGAGACGCAGGAGTGACAGAACGGAGCCAAGCACGCAACTGTGTCAGGCCTTGTAAGGCAAAGACCTGAACTGGGTTTCACTGAGATGAAACGACTGGAAGATTTCGTGCTGATATGCAATATGATCTGATTTCCGTCTCAGAAAGACTTTTCCGCATTCCATAGGAAGAATGGACAGGGAAGGGTCAGGGCAGAAGCGAGGAAATCAGCGAGGAAAGCTTTTGAAAACAATTCAAGTTAGCAGTGATTTGTTAAGTGGTAGTAACATATTTCAGAAATATATAGCTGGTGAAAAAATGTATTAGTATATGTTTGGGATACATAATAAAAATATTCAAAAGAGGGTATTGGTGCATATACAAATCATATCTTGATGTTTTTTACTTTAAGTTCTAGGTTCTCTCAGTGTCAAATATCAGTGAATCTTGGCAGTCATGATTCAGAGACATCTCTTCCGGTTGAGGAAAGAGAACCTCATAGAAAACTTTTATATGTGGCACAGTTCTGTGTCAGGAACATCTTGGTGCTGACCAAAAGCCATTTGTTTTCTGGAAATACAATTAAATGATCGTTGCTGGCCTCCCTAGCCACGTGACTGACTTCTAGCCAATTGAATCTGAGAACTCCTGAGATTATCTTGAAGGGTTCTAAATCCAGTGACAAATGTCCTTATAACAGAAAATATGAGAAATATAAGTGTTGAAAGATTACACTATGTCAAATCAGAAAAGAAAATTGGAATCATACAGCAGTAAGCCAAGGAATGCCTGGAGCCACCATAAACTTGAAGAAGTAAGAAATAATTCTCTAGAATCATCAGCAGGAGTATGGCCTTGTCAGCACCTAAATTTTGGAATTCTGTCTTCCAGAGCTGTCAGATAATGAATTTCCACCGTTATTAACTACTCATTTTGTAGTAATTTGTTATAGCAGCCTCAGGAACCCCAGAGTCATTACCTGAGCACCTTTTTTTTTTTTTTTTTTTTGTACTGGGAATCGAACTCAGGACATTGCATTTGCCAGGCAGGCGCTTGTGCCACCGAGCTACATCCCCACCCCCCACCTGAGCACCATTTTTGAAGAGCATTCTTCTCCCCTAATTCATCTACTCCAAAAGGATTCTATTCAACAATATCACTTGAATAATTTGATTTTTCTTAAATTTCTCTTCCACCACTCTATCACTGACCTTGAGTCCAAGCTGCCATGATCTCTTGTCTTATCTCTTATAATAGACACCTATTTACCCTCCTTTTACTACCCTGGCCCAATTTACTGACCCCATTGTGTCCAATTTTAAAGTTATAAAACTGAAAGACATTTTAACAGGACAATATGAATATTTTCCTAGCCCTGCTTAAAACATTTTGATGGTTTTCTATCACAACTGGCTTAAATCCAGGTTTCAGTGTGATCTCCGAGCCCACATTATCCGTCCTGTCTGCCTCTTCAAACTCATCCCCTTCCTCTCACCCTCGTCTCTGTGACTCAGTCACCTCTTTCTGTCCCTCCAAACCAATCGTTTTTGTCTGTTACAGAGGTTCGTCCCTAACATTTCAGTGGCTTACAATACATTTTCTTCTATTCTTTGCCTGGCAAATTTATACTTTTCTTTCAGCATAAATGTCATTTGCTAAGAGAGTTACTCCCCGGTCTACAAGT